GGATAGCTTATTGCTTGTATATTGGTTATTTTCAATGTCTAAAAGTAGTGTCATGCTGAAGATCAATGTGTATTGTCAATGCTATCCACCATCTGCAAAATGGTTGGAGTTCTGCTGCAAGCTGATGATATGGAATAGTTCTGGTGGGAGTTAAAATTGTCATGGTTCAGGACTCTGGGCCTGTACTAGATGGAATTTAGAAGGATGAGAGAGGATCTGATTGAAATTTACAGAATACTGAGAACCCTGATTAGAGTGGAAGTTTCCACTAGTAGGAGAGACTAGGACCTGAGAGCAGAGCCTCAAGGTGAAGGGACAACCCTTTCCAATTGAAATGAGGTGGAATTTCTTCAGCCAGAAGGTGGTTGATCTGTGGAAGTAATTGCCACAGAGGGCTGTGGATGCCAAGTCATTGAGTATTTAAGACAGAAAGGCTCTTGACTGTAAGGGGAGAAGGCAGAAGGATGATGGGGTTGAGAAACATATCGGCCATGATCGGATGATGGAGCAGATGTGATGCGCCGAATGCCTAATTCTGTTCCTATATCTTATGGTCTTTTGGCTTGAGATAGAATAAGGTGGAGTTAATGATGGAATAAAGTTCATGGAAACGGGTGCTATTATTTGGATAATAGGGCCACAAAGTGGATGAGCTGACAATCCCCCACTCGTTGCTAACAGCCACGTAGAGCACATTTGGAATTATTGGAGAAAAACACCTGAAACACATTAAATGTTATGTGGTCTGTTGATAAACACCCGCCAGAATCTAAGCAAACAACTCCCACAGACAGATGTATTGTAAACCAGGCCGTTAAACTATCAATACCTTCCATTTAATAAAGTACATTTATTACAGGGACGTAACCACCTAATAATCTTGCGAATAACAAGTGCAGGCAAGGAACTGTTTCCCTATTTTCTAAATTTAATTTTACTCTATTGTATCCTTGTTTTTACAGCAGGGAGCAAGCACGTAATATTCTTCCAAGCCGAAGTAATATCTAAAGCTGTTCCGAACAGATGGGAGTCTTTGCGTGTGGGCTTAGCTATGTGGGCTAAATGAAAATTGATATATTTTTAAACACGTGCTAAATATTACCATATTTACATCTTTCCTGTTTTCAGTTTGAGCTCCAAAGGTCACAGGCTAAGTTAGACACCATTTGAAACCCAAAACCGTTTCATGCTTATTTATTTTATTATACTGTTGGACTAAATGTTTACACTGAAAGTGGCACATCTGGATTAGATAATTTGTTGTGAATTAAGAAGGGTTCGATGGTTATCATATTTTGCGTGATTAAATCAGTTAAAATTTATGATTTTCTTAGGGAAAATAGCAGCCCGTGAGAATAAAGAGAACGCCGCGAATAATACTTTGAAGTTTGGATTATTATGGGGGCGTTTGTAAATGGCCAGCGTGTATTGTGTACATCAGAATCCTTTCTTTAAGAAATGTAATACAAATGTAATAGTTGTGGGGCCAGCTATGTATAGTTTGTACATAGTATAACTATATATAGTTAGAACTCACTCTTTCTATTTTAAGTAGCACCCACTTGACTCCGATGTTTATCATCACTTAACGATAATATTTCTCAAAGCGCATGTGCAATTAGAGAAAACGATCTGGCAACATTAATACAATACACATCAGGTATCATCAATACACATCAGGTATCAGTGAAACGGCCTTACTCTTTCCAAAAGCCCAGCTCTTCCACGTACATTTCAGAAATTCAAGCTCATTGAACTGGAGGTTAAGAATTTTACATCTGAGATGGATAGGTTTTTGTTTAACATTGAAATTCTTATGTTTTTTTTCAGATTCGTGAAGATAACTAATTTAATTTCAATATCAACTTTATTGTGTGCAATTATTAGAACGTAGCAACATGAGCTGGCCATTCAGTCCCTCTAGCCTCCTCTACCCAATGAGATCAGAACAATCTGCATCCAAACTCCATCCAATTGCTAATTGCTTTGGCTCCACAGTCCTAAATATTCCTGACTAACAAAAATCTATCCATCTCAAATGTAAAATTCTAAATTGACTTAGCAGCTCCTGCTTTTTGCAGCCATAAGTTATGCACTTCTCTCATCCCTTTGGTGAAGAATTATCTCCTTACTTCTGTCCTGAATTGAAGAGATAAGAGTCTTGGATATTTTTAAATTTAAATATGTGCATGCCTACTTGCTTCCAAACTAGCCAACAGATGAATCAGAAGCTTTGTATTATTTTCAAACTACTGTGATATTCTTTGAATCGGGAGTATTATTCTTCCTTTGATTTTATTAGACATATTGTCCGATTTATAAGACTGGATCATGTCAAGTTGGTTAATAACTTGATCTTACGGAGAAAATCAATGAAAGAGGTCTGTTTAACTTTGTAGATCTCAAAGTTGCAGAAAAATAACGCATGATCCAAAAATGACCAAAATGCATTGACGTGAGAGCCAGTCTTATGTCCGATCTTTCTCTTTAACTAATTTCAATTATTTAGTACCTGATAAAAGTAATAGCTGCCTGATACTTTCTTTCATCGTGTTTTCTTTTAAGCTCAGTGCTTTCAAATGTGTACATGGTAATAGAAATTTTGAGAATACTGTGTTTAATTTTGGTTTCTTCAAAAAGCAAGTAATGCAAAGGCTAAGGAGAAGATTCAGAGTAGACTTGCAAGATTAAATCCCTTTTTTTAAAACGTTACTGGTCAACAAATTGGGAATCTGTGTTTAGTCATTTTCAGGATATATTGATTTCTGGGAGATTTGGCAAGGCTAAATAAAATGCTTGTACTGAAAGATTGGTGGTAGATTGAGGAAAACCAAGAGTCATGCATTTAAATTTTGCAAGCCTATGACACGTTGGGCAATTCTTCCTTTCACAGGGTATGCTAGATATTTAGATCAAAATTGGAATTCTACTGCAACATTAGTTGCCATGCTATAAACTTTAATGAAAATAAAATAAAAGACTTGGATTTATATCGTGCTGTACACAAGAACCGCACTTCACAACCCACTCTGCAGCTAATGAAGTTCTGTCAATGACCTCACTGTATAATATAGAAAATGCACCAGCAGTTTGCTCACAGAAAGTTCCCATGAATGAATGTGACAATAAGCACATGATCTCTACTTATGTAATATTTATTGAGAGATAATTATTGGCTAGGACACTAGCTGGAACACTTCTTCTTCAAGACATGCCTTGAGATCTTTTGCATTCACCCAATTTTTCAGACATGGCCTCGGTTTACTGTATTATCCAAACAACCACCTGTCTGACAGTGCAGCACTCCCTCAGTACTATAATGGAGTATGAGTCTTGATTTTCATGCTCAAGTATGGTATGAACCATACGATTGGGAGGCAACCACTCTACCAATTGAGACACAGCAGCTCATTCAATTTGATACGTGAAAAACTTTTTTTTTAAAAAATTGACCATTTTCTGATTGGTGTGAAGTTCATACCTTGAAGATGATGCTGGAATACTAGATAATATAATTGTGTGATATCTTGGACTGGATTTCTACCCTGAAAACTAGGTGGAGAAGGGAATTTTCTAGATTTTCTTCTTGATTTAATTTTGGTTTTTATTGCCTGTTTTCTTACCTCTCATAAGAGGTACGTGACTGCTGGTGCATAGAGGTATCTAATTGCTTCTGGCATCACCAATATGTTGGGCAGACTTGATGAATCAGATCAGCTTATCCTGCCAGCCATACATTATACTAAAATACCACCCATTACTCTTAATGAGGTACACATAGTAATGGATGTATCATATGATATGACCAGTTGTATTTCGACATGGTTATGATTTAGAAACCAAAAGAAGAGAGATAGCATATTTCAAAGCACACAGCTGCATCGACCAGTGCCAATGAGTATTGGGATTTATGTACACTGTTGATGAAGATGCAAAACTGGAAAGGCATGAATATCAGCTGGAACAGTGAAGTTTGAAATGTAACAAAAATTGATGTTTACATACTTATGCCTACTTATATTTGGGTGAGATTATGATACTTTTCTTGATATCAGTATGAATTAATTTAATGAGCAATGCAGAAAACATGCCAAACTCAGGCACCCCAGTAATGAGGTGTCAACCTGGGAATTTAACTGAACTGGACCAATTTAATTAATAAAAACCAAAAAAGCTGTGGATTCTGTAAATCAGAAGCAAAAATAGAGATTGCTGGGAAAGCTCAGCAGGTCTGACAACATCTGTAGAGAGAAATTAGAGTGAATGTTCCAGATGGAGTGTCCCAAACATATTAATACTGTAACTAGAGGAGGAGGTCAGAGGCTGGGTATTCTGCATTGGGTAACTCAGTCCTGATTCTCCATGCTTGTCCACAAAGCATAAGCTAGGAACAAGATATTCTCCACTTGTCTGGATGAGAGCAGATCCAATAATACTCAAGAAAATCAGCACTGTCCAGGAGAAAGCAGCTCACATGCCTGGCCCTACACCCCTAGCCCCCTCCCCCGCCATTCACCAGCAACAAAATTCAGTCCTTCCATTAGCAGACAGTGGCACCAGTGTGTATCATCTAAAAGATTCACTGCAGCAGTCTCAATCGATTAGCACCTTCCAGACCCATAACCTCAATCACCTAAAAGATCAGGGCAGCAAACATATGGTAATGTAACCATCTAGAATTTCCTCTCCAACCCAAACACCATCCTGAATTGAAAACATGTTGTTGGGGCAAAAACCTAACCTCACTTCTTAACACTGTGTGTACATTTACACATCATGGACTGCAACAGTTCAAGAAGGCAATTTGTGATGGGCAATAAATGCTGGCCTAGCTAGCAATGCCAAGAACCTATGACTGAATTTAAAAATAAAAAGCTTTATCACAGCACCGAAATGTTGATTGTGTGCAGTTTTACTCCTGTTCTCTCAGTACAATTTACTAATATAATTTGTTTTCATGCTAAGTTAGTAATTAATTGTCAATGAATTCTACTTTTCAGTCAATTGCTATTCTCATGGGCACCAGCCAAGACCTTTGAAACCTTACATATCCACAAGAGCTGAGGGTGAAAAATACCTTCATCAATAACAATAAACACCCTTTTCAAATGAGACAAAGGTAACTTTTTAAGATGTCAATATTGATTATATGAAGTAAAACTAGCTTATTGTGGTTCTCTATCCTTTAAAATCTTGCATAAACTTTAAACTATTCGGATAACTACGTAGCGTAAGGTCAAATTAGACTCCGTTCACGTTTATTTAAATAGGGACAGACTTTAACAGTTTGATTGAACATTTTGAACAGTTTTTTTTCTGCAGGCAACATGGTCTAATTAATCCTTTTAAATAGGCTTGGTTGTCCTTTCCCCCTCCCTGCGCACATTTTTTTTTAAAAACTACCCCTGTGGGTGTATATGTGTGTGGTCTTAAGGACTACATCAGAAACCGCATTTTGTATAGGAGGAGTTGATTTTTGGCTACCCTCTGTAGTGTGTAATTGTGTACCAGTTCAATTAGAACTTCAGGCTTGGGACCGCACACATTTCAACTCAAGCTGCCATTGTTAGTTGGCAATTGTGCGCTTCCCTCTAGAAAGAGTGCACCGACCCCGTGGCAAAGAGGTCATGCCACACTGCAGACGCAGACCGTTCCAGCAAACACCAGAACACGAGTCCGCAACTAAAACCTGCAAATCGATTCTCCTTGCAACCAGAAAGATGTCCCCAGCTAGCATATGCCTCAGTGAATAATGGTACAATAAATCAATTAAAAGCACACCTAAGGTCACTGAAAACTACATTTTACGCCCATTTTATTGATACTGAGCATACGTTCAGTTAGACCTTCGATGTAATTTCTATTGGAATATATTTCGCACGTATGAATCGTGAAATGACTAAATTAATGTACACCGAAGTCGAGGCTACAATGGTTTGCAATTTGGTCATTATGTTGTGCATCTTTACATTGAGCAAATTTTACTCAAGACACCTTGAGGTACCCTAACGTATCTTGTGCTATGAATGCTTTGAGAAAAACCCGAACAAAAACACTGTGTTTGAGTGAAAGTCGGATCAATTGTTCAACAATGCGGGTAAAAGTATTCATGTTCTGTGGAACTGTGGAATTGTTTGAAGAATGTCTTCTAGGTTTGTGTCTGTCGTTTTCTATAATATTTCAGGCATGTCCTATGTAGCATGGTATTGCATCACTTTTTCCTATAATCGATGCACAAGCCATTAATCCTAATTCCAATGTTTTTTTTAAGGCCGAGTGTGGTGCGACTCTCTTCCCACACACACTTGAAATCAGGACAACTGTGGCTCTTTACATCTGAAAATAATTTTACGCCCCTTAGACCTCCCGCCCGCCAGTAAGTATTCGGTCTCAATGGCGTTCCCTCCATCTGCACTTTGTCTGTATACATGTCTTTGGCTCTCTTTTTAAAATACAACTGTCTAGAAAGCGCCACAAGCACTAAGGACCATATTGTGCATTAACATTTCTTAAGAATTTTGTTTGTGGAACAAAAACTAAAACGACACAGGGACGCTTTAATGCCACAAGAAGCGTGTTCACCCCACTGCGTTTCAGTACCCCTCGTTCAGCTTTTCACAAAACTCTCCAAGTTGGGCAAACTGAAAAGAAAAACAATAATTAGAGATAATTGCTTGTGTCCAAACATAAGCATCAAAGCATTTTGGATTCATTTGTAATGTGCTATGGTGTGTAGTCCAAAAGGATGACCCCTATTTTGCTGACTGAGTGGGAGCACATACTGAGTGACAGATGGAGTGGACCCAATGCACTCGTCATAGGCCCAGCCGGGGCACCGATTGTGTAGGAGACAGTCGGAGAATAAAGAGATGGAGAAGCTACAAAACGAGGGTCAAAAGAGGGTACATAATTATCAGGGGTGGCTGAAGGTAGAAAAACAAAGAACACCACAGTCGATTTTAACAAAGCGTGCATGCACAAGATTTATTCCCCCACCCGCTGCACTGTATACGTACAGCGTTCTGGTAATAGACACAGTCATGTATAGTGTAGCTGGATATTTATTGTAGGGCGGGAGTCGTTAGTATCTGTGTTCTGTCATCAGCGAGAAAAAAATATCGGTGTTTTTACTTAATTTTAAAATTATTTCACTTTACCGATTAAATTCAATTCTCACTGCATTTTGCATATATGCTTCTACATTTGAGATTTGAATTTGCCATGTTTCGATCCAGAAGACTGTCGGTGTAACACGTGCCAGCTCCCAGTCTTATTAAAAAAAATACAACGGAACTTTAAGCTCAATCTCACTAATAGCACAGCATCAAATTATGATCCGGGGAGATAAGGCCTACCAAGAATTCTCCTACAGATGATGAAGTTAGTTAGGGATGTAATTCCCATTGAATAGCCGAAAGCTCAATGAATGCAAGTGGGGAAGAGAACAGCAGACTCGGACATACCACCCAGTATCTTCATCAGAAGGGATATTTGACTAGTTGAAGTGATTTAGCGGTGAATGGACAGACCACGACAAAAGCTCGAACAACAGGGCTTCTCGTTCAAGTATTTGGAAAGCAGTGGTTCGTGTGATAAGATAAAGTGCAGTTTTTTGGACCAACAGTCTATTACTCAGTAATGGGTTTTGAACGACCTAAACGATTTGTTGCCTGGGACAATAAATCTATTGTGCCCAATTGCATTTTAACAGAATTGAATGCAAGCTTTTGCACAAAAGAGCGTATATTCTGACAAAGCTACAAAGATTGTTTTATCATTCTGTTATGTGGAGCAGAACTTTCAAAGGATCATAGAGCCAGGTGAATAAGTTTCAAGATTTCATTGATGTCAAACAGTTGTCATTTCCGAAAAGTTCTACGTTCAGGGGAGGAATAGTTTCAGATTAGTGAAGATATTAAATGCACGAAAATGGTTAATTGTAAGTTTGCTGGCTGTAAACCTGTAATAACATATTTCAATCAAAACATGTTTTTCTACTTTTCCCCTGACCTGAACGGACATTTCTCTCCACCCCTGCACTCCATACAGCCTAGTGATGAGAAAAGAGCCGAGTTCCAGCATTTATACATATATAGTTCAATACCAATGATGGGATGCCTCCGAAATACCTGCCAGGATCTGACGGATTTGCCAGGTGAATGTGTGAACGTGATCTATATAATAACAACTGGATCGTGTATCCCATTGCTTGTCTAATAACCGCCTCCTTCGCTATGCCAGGTCGCATTAATTTTTTCGGATGTTCAACCACTTGAGATCCGATCTCACTGCTCCTCCAACACGCTAAAGACGGCATTGCATGTTAAAATGCACAAAAGACATAAGGAATGTGATTGTGTTTTGCCTCTGAATAATAATTTTACTGTACCAATTTCATTAACACTTTTCACTGTATTTTCCTGGATATATGTGACGACAAATCATTCATCCATTCATTCAATTAATTTGTTATGGATTCTCTGGCTGTCTTTAATATAAAGATAAAGTAAATCGTAATATTTCCGTTATCATCTACGATTATACAATATGTGCATTTGATGAGATGTTGCAACATTACGGTAAAACATCTCCAGATTCGCCGGCATTGTCAAATGGACTTTAGGAATCCTGCATGTGGTGCAATTGTTCCTTTCCATCTTCATGTTTTGAGTCAAAGTCGCATGAAAAAAATTAACTGACGTTTCCAACAATCAACAGCACTTTTACTCATTATATCAAGACGTGCAATCTCTTTTTGAATTTTTGGTGCGAACAATTGCAAATAAATGTTAAAAGTCAAGCTAAAAGCACTGTTAGTATGAAAGTAACTCATTTTCTGTGGTGTCGCTGTGGTGAGTTCCAATCTTTTAAGTAGTTCAAATGTAAGTTTGAAAATAATGACAACGGACAGCATCTCTGCCAAGTTTTTGCTTAAAGGAGTCACTGGAATTCTGACGCTTTCGTATCCTGAGAAATGAAGAGCACACTGCAGCAACAAAATGTTTGTTTACAATTCATACGATTCCGAGAGTGGCTAAAGTTAAAGTACTGGTGGATAGTCAGTCTTGCATTAGGTGCGGAATAAGTCAAAGTCACATTTTAAAAGTGCTCGTTGCTTTCGAAACATGTATCAAAGTTTTCAGTGTGAGCCTTGCATTAAGTTAGCCACCGAACAGGAGAGTTCTGTGGATGCTGGCAGAGGTTCCGCGCACAGTTTCCCTGTCACTGACTTCCGTGCAACCTGCTGTCAAGCAGGGTCCGTCGTGTAACTGTAGTAACCTGCATCACATTCCATCTAAGACCATCAGAGACCTTTCATCGCACATTATTCTAATTTGAATCTTCTTCCCGTCCAAAAATACGCTACATGATATTTGCAACAACAACAAAAAAAAATCCACTAAAAGACTGCTGGAATGTATTTAACACTTTTAAAACATGTCACAAAGAAAATGGTGTCCAGAATGCATCAATTCAACTGTAGTTACACAAAAGAAAGGCAAGATGGCAAAGGTTCGGCGTTGTTTTTAACCTGTTGTTTTTAATCTAATTATTTACATTTAGCACTGACGGACAGGAATATAGCAATACTCGTGATTACTTGGTTACCTCAAAAGTATCGTTAGATACGGAAATAAACTAATAGTAACATGTTTGATTTGGCATATAATGTAGAAATCAAGCGTTTGTGACAATATTAATAGGGAATACAGCCATCATGTTCTTGCACTATGCCACAAATGATAAAATCTACTGAGAGAATTTATCAATGAAATTTATCTATTTGTGGGGAAATTTATAGTATTTCAAAAATGTTATTCTTACACGAAATAAAACAGATATGATTTGCGTCTAATTTTATCCCGAAAGGCGCTATTGATTGCACAGGGTCTTGAAAAAAAATGAAGTAGCTGGTTAATATTTATTTTCGTGACTTGTTGGGAAAATACTAACTTATACAATCAGCATTTTTATGAAACCATGTTACGAATGATGCGTTGTGTAAATCATGTGAAGTTCTAACTGGAATTCCGCGTGTCTTTTTCTTAACTGTTTTGCACCTGACTGACAACAAAGTGAACAACTAAGTGTCAATTATTTTTGTTTATAGAGAATTGTCAAATCTCTTTGACGTATTCCTGGTGATATTCTCACATGGCCTTCCGTTTCCAAGCCTGTCAATCCTTCTCCAACTCTAATACTTATAAAACAAAAATGTTCAAGGAAATTGTAGGAAAAAAGTCCACCTATGATGGTTCTCTTGGGTATCTCTGTGCAGGGGCTCTATCTTTAATTCCAGGAAATTCTGGGGAATACTAAAATATTGGCAGCCCTCGTATTTGCATCTTTATTTGAGACATGTATAAAACCTTATCTCAAGTTGCGTTTTGTGTCAAAATCCTTTGCTGTTTTCAGAGTTAAGATATACTAAATGTTTGTATTCATGTAAACATTGTGCAAAGAATGATGAATACAGATATGAATTCAAAATAAAAAATTGTAATTTCCTTATCACTTAAATTGATACATACATATAAAATATACACAATGAATCCTGATCATTTTGGCTCTGTAATGGCTATCCACTGTGAAAATGAAGCTACCATGGCTGTAACTATGGCAACAGACACTGCTTTTCAGCTCATGTTTGTTTGGCAGGGCAGTTTATGAAGGTTTTCTAATGAATTATTTTGCAGCACGGGATGTGCTAACAAGAAATATTGTACTGTGCCCATACTCTTCCTCTTTCATGATTTATGTACAATATGTACATGCGCCAATCCTAATCCCCACAGCACAGAATTTATGCAAAATAAATGCCACACATTGGAAATTACCATTCTACACAAAAGTGTGCTGTTCAGCATCTGGATTATTTCAACGTAGGGGCTGCGTAGAAATTTATTTGTGTGAGAAATATTGCTTCTGATTTCAAATATACACTGTTACCTATATCTGAAATAGAAATTTCTTCAAGAAATATGAACTTGATGAGCAAGATATGTTAAATTTGGTGAAACCATAGTGCACAAATTACATGTAATCTTTGGGCACTTTTTGTCTGAAATACTTCTAAGACCTTTTTTGCTACATTTATTGTAAAATAATACATCATTACAGATTTGAATTTCCAACCTATCCACCAATTATTGTGTGTAATCAGATAATTATGTTCAGTTTGAATTTTGGTTGTTTGGTTTAAATTGATATTTCCTGTACAAGCAGAGACTAGGCTCTGTAATAAGTTAATTCATATTTAACTTCAATCTGTATATGCAGTCACTACATAGCAACACAAAAATAAAACAAAACAACATGATGGTGGAGATCTGAAAGAAAAACAGAAAGCACTGAAGAAACTCAACAGGTCTGGCAGTATCTGTGGAGAGAGAAATGGAGTTAAAGTTTTGAGCCCAATGACACACTGGGGTAGGTGAGTGAGGTTTTAGAAAATGATGGGTTTTTGCTGTAAACAAAGGGAAAAGGAGGAGCAGCCGGAACAGATGGTGGAGGTGTCAAGAGCAAAACACAAAGGGAGTGTTAATGGAGATAAAGGAGTGATCTTGATGCAAAGTGGGTTTAAATGCTGGGTGCGAATAGCTAAAAATAGGTCAATTCTCTGAGAACGAACCCATGCCATGAAGATGCTGGGGAATTGGGAAGGAGGGCATGGAATCAAAATGGAGGTCACTGTCCATGCTCTGAAGTTGTTGAACTCAACATTCAGCCCTGTAAAGTATCTAGGTGTAAAATGAGGTGCTGGTGAGTTGCTGTGATGGCCTTCAGTGGAGCACTGCAGCAGGCCTCAGATGGAAATGTCAGAGCAAGAGCAGGATGGCGTATGGCAATGGATGGCAACTACAAGGTTGGGAACATTCTTACGAAGATTGTAGTGTGTTCAGCAAAGCATTCACCCAGTTTGTGTTTGATCTCATCAATGCAGAAGAGACTGCAGCGTGATTAATGACTTCAATAGACTAGATTGAAAGGAGCACAAGTAAATCACTGCATCACCTGAAACATATGCTTATGGCCTTGGACAGTGAGGAGGGAAGAGGTCAAAGGAGAAGTGTTGCACCTTCTGTGATTCAATGCGATGTTAAGAAAGTGTTAAGAGTAACAGAGGAGTGAACCAGAGTGACACAGAGGTAACAGTTCCTGCAGATTGATAGTAGTGGAGGGGAGGGGTAAATGAGGGGTGGTGGCACCCTGACGGATGCAGTGGAGGATAAACCTTTGAATGTGGGGGCTGCTGGAGTGAAAAGTGAGGACAAGGGGAACCCTATCATTGTTCTGGGACGGAGCTATGTTTGTCTTTTTGTGGGATATGTACACCATTCCCTGTTCCAGACCTACCCAGTCCCCTCCCACAATTTTATATTAGTGTATCTAGGATATAATAAGTGTTGCTTCCTGCTATTCCAGAATTAGAAATTATAATCATTTTTCTTCCGATTTCCCTCTTTCTTTCAGATTTACCTGGACTATCTCTTACTGTTCCCTTCTTCGACTTTCTGTTTCCATTTTTGGGGATAGACTATCCACCAATATCCATTACAAATCCACTGACTGCTAATGGTTACCTTGACTGCACTTCCTTCACCATGTTTCCTGTAAGGACTGCATTACATTCTCCAGTTTCTCCACCTCTGTTGCATCTGTTGATGCCACATTACACAAGAGTGCCTCCAACACATCCTCTGTTCTCCTTTCTCCACAACTGAGGATTCCCACCACTCACAACCCCATGCCCCCCCCCCCACCCCAACCCCAACCCAAATCCTCACTTTGGTTGACAGTGCTCTCAACCATGTCCATTCTCCTTCCCGCACATCTACTATCACCCCTTCTCCTTTCCAAGAGAAATGATAAAGTTCCCCTTGTCCTCACTGTCTATCCCACTAGTCTCTGTATTCAAAACAGTCATCTTCTGCCATTTCTGTCACTTGCAGTAGGATGCCATCATAAAACATATCTTCCCCTCCCCTCCCTTCTCAGCATCCTTGAGAGACCATTCCCTCCAAGTCACTCCAGTCCACTGCTCTGTCATTAATAATGCTTTCTTAATCACCCTCTTACTTTGGCATCTTCCCATTGAATTGCAGATGGTGCAACACTTGCCCTTTTACCTCTTTATTCTCACTGTCCGAGGCCCTAAATGCACATTCCAGGTGAAGCAGCAATTTACTTGTTCTTCTTTTAATCTTATCTGTTGTATTGACTGCTCTCAGTGTGGTGTCCTGTACATTGTTGAGATCAAATGCCAACTGGGTGACCACTTTTCAGAACACCACCACTGTGTGTAAAATTTACCCCAACCTTCCATTCAAACACTGCCTGGCTTTCATGTCAACATTTCCATCCAGGGCTTGTAGTGTTCTAACAAAGCCCAACACAAGCTGAAGGAACTGCATCTCTTTTTCAATTTAGGCACTTTACGCCTACCAGAACTGAACATTGAATTCAGCAGCTGCAGAACATGAACACTGTTCTATGTTTCACTTATACCCTTCCCATCTCCTTGATTACACACCCCACACCCCAGCCCCCATGGTATGGGGTTTACTTTCAGCAGAACTGACCCATTTTCAACTATTCACACCCATCTTCTATTTTTCATAGAGATCATTCCTTTACTCCATTAGCATCCCTTTTGTCTTTACTCTGCACCCTCTCCATCTGTTCCTCTCGCACCTCCTCCCCTTTGCCAACAGCATAGAAACCATCATTTTTCACCACACAGACTGAGTTCTGAAGAAGTAATATCAAACTCTAGCGCTAACTTCGTCTCTCCTCAGACCTGCTGAGTTCCTTCAGCATTTTCTGTTTTATTACAGAGCTAAACAAGATATAATCCTCTTCGTGCCTTTCTTTCGGTACACATATTAATACGACATGCATGTTGAAATACAATAACTATTTTTATCATTTGCTAGTTAGGTTCTATCAATAACGAGAGACACGACAGTAAAATAGTACAATGATGAAGCATGGTTAGATTAACAATATATATTTGCAGCCCACAAGACCAAGAACAATTTTTCCACTAAAACAAAACAAAACACTGCGAATGCTGGAAATCTGAATCAAAACCAGAAATTGCTGGAGAAGCTCAGCAGGTCTGGCAGCATCTGTGCAGAGAAAACAGAGTTAATGTTTCAAGTTCAGCGACCCTTCTTCAGAACTGATCGTATCTGGTAAAAGATGGTAAAGATGCTGAAGACAGGAGGTGGTGAGAGGTGTGGTGGTAACTGCATAAGCAATATGTTGTCCACCTATCAGCATGTATACCACCAGTTTCCAGCAACTACTGGTTCTGAAGAAGTGTCACCGGACTCAAAATATTAAGTCTGCTTTCTCTTCACGGATGCTGCCAGATCTATTGAGTTTCTCCAGCAATTTCTGTTTTTGCAACAGTTTCCTCACTACTGGTCTGTATGTGTTCTGTCATATGGTCTGTTCACTTTATTCCTTGAAACCCACCAACATCAGTGAGACACGATGTATGCAGTAAATGCCTCTGAAGATTTGTGAGTCCTTTATTTGAAACATTTCTTGAAATCCCTGTGAATTCCACTCAACCAATAGCAAATAATCAACATTTTTTTTGTACTAGCAAACAATCTCTAATATTAAAATACAGATAAGCTGCTTCCAGCAAACACCTACGCTTACTTTTGCTGATAGTTGAGTTAACAAAGCCGAGCTAAATTATTGCATGATCTGTCATGTTTCTTTTTCTGGGACACAAAGCGGGGAAACAAGATATGGCACGTGTAAGTCAGATTCACTAAGGTAGTTTTCAGCAGTCAGGTGCAATGGAAAAATTGACGTCGTAAGAACTGGCTTTATTATCCTCCCAGTTAATTGCCTTGACTGTGGCATTTTAACAGCCACATAACCTTGACGTTACCTGGTAACAGTTGAGTTCAGGTGATAAGACTAAAGGGCTAATGGATTGTGTATGCCAGCTAGGGCCATTGAAAAGGATTACACCACAAATTTGTAAGTGGATGACCGAGGAGAGAAGTAACAATTTCCTATTCATTCTGGAGATGAGGGGATATTTCAGATGAACTTTTAATGTTGGATGATATTTAAGGGGTATTATTTCAAAGACACCATGTCCTTTTCCTCAAGGTACTTAGACTACAAAGCACAATGTCAAATACATAACTACATTCTACAAAAAGGCAAGACAAGATATGAAATGTTTGCTATAGCTTGAAGAGTTCCTCAGGGTAGTGCGCTCGGCCCAACCATCTTCAGATGCTTCATCAATGACCTTCTCTCCATCATAAAGTCAGAAGTGGGGATGTTCGCCGATGATTGTGCAATGTTCAGCACCATTTGTGACTCCTCAGACACTGAAGCCATCCATGTTCA